AAGAGTCTTGGTGACACGCTGCCTGGCTCTGTGGGTGGTCTTTGGGCGGGTCCTAGAAGGCCAAGTGTGTGCCGGACCTGACCCCTCCCTTGCCCCTCTCACCCAAATACTCACACAGTTTGGGTTGCTGTAATCCGGGCACCAGGAGGCTGAGTTAACCAGCAGCCATTAGTGTTCGTTAAATAAAAGTAGAAGTAATACAGGAACCTCAGGAAAGGAGAGTCGGTCAGGTGGTGTGTTGGTTTTTAAAATTCGTTTTAGCCAGGTGCCCCACGCTGAGCAGTGGATGGCCAGAGATCGTTCTGCGTTGGTGTTTACCTTTTAGCCGCTGCCCTGATTGACCGGCACCATGTCGGGGAGGGCTCTGTGGTCAGCTGCTTCTCTCTTGGAAACAGCATGTCTCCTCTCAAACAGTCTGGAACAGGGTTCTCATGAAACAGAACCACCCGCTCCCGTGGGTTTCTGCTCTGTAGAAACCTCTTCCCTGCCCTCACTGTCCTTTCTTTGTCAAGTGGTTTGACTTCGCTGGGTTTAACCGAGGGGTCCTCCGCCTTGTCCATACTCAGCTCTGGCAGCCTTGTCACAGGTACTTGCCCGAAAAATGCCAGATGAGTAACACCCAACAAGTTTCTATAGCACTTGAACCGCTTTAAAATTATTGCATTCAGGTGATCAGATGAATTCCTTGGCACTTTTCTTCAAAGTGTGTTTTTCTGGATAAAAGATTTAATTCCTCTTTTATGAGGTTCTTTAGATGTATGGCTGAAAAGATTTATTTTTTTCCTTTTCTCAAGCAGTTTACTTTTGTGGTCAGAAAACTCCAGTTAAAAAAACAGACAGGAATCAGGTAAGCCAGAGGCTTTGGAAAACAGAAGGGCTGTCCGTAGTCTGGAGCCTTGAATCTTCTTGTGTCTCCAGGTCGGGCTGGTTGATTCTGACCCAACAGATCACAAAATCTAGCAATTACCCTGTGATCACAGATGCTTTTTGGGAACTGCCTCAAGCACTGAGTGGACGAGTTACTCTTTCCAGTTTTAGCAAAACCAGTTCTTCCCGAAGCTGTTGGGGAGTGTTGAAGGCACAGGTGAAGCTTATTTTAGGCCCGAGATCTGGAGTTGTGAGAAAAATGAACACTTGACTGGGGCCACCATTCAGGTACATTTATCGGGTAATAATGCTGGGCTTGACAGCATGTTCTTGTTGAGCCTAGAGTGGGCAATTTGATTTTTATAAAGAGCTGTTGGGTTTCCTCTTTTTGGATGCTTTGCCTCTTAAAACAGCCATAAAATATCCCTTAAAAATCTCATTCCCTCCAGTCTGAGTCCTGGCTGCTCCATAATGACAACCAGAGACGCTGCCCTCGTGTGAGACGGCATTGCTGGCGTGGCTTCCCATTCCAGCTTCAATTATATGTTGAATTTTCTCAAGTGGGATGTTTAATGATCCTTCTGAACAGACTGTTTATGCTGAATGAAGCCCTTCCCGAGAGCATGTGGGCCTCCCTTTCTCTGCTGCTCTTTGCTGGTGCACTTAGCTCACAGTTTCTGACTGAATGTGTGAATTTTATCGTCCCAGCAGGCAGAACACTAGAACTAAACCCTCCTCCCACTCTCTGAAGTGCTGGAGAGCTCCCCTACTGTCTGTGAAAGCCAAGAGCCAACAGGCAGGCGGGGTGCGAGGGCAGAACATGGGGAAAGGACAGCTCTCAATTTGCGAAGCCCCAAGAGAGGGTTCAGTATCCTCTGTTGACCCCCTTCTCCCCAGGACAGCTAAGGTTGGGAACTGGCACAGTTACTGAAAGCACCTTCTTATCCGCTTGAACCTCATGTTGTTCGATTTTCTTCCTTAAGAGCCAAAGGTGGAAATGGAAAGCTTTGAAATTTGTCTTTTATTTTTTAAGGTATGTTTGGAATTAGGTTAGTTTGGTTGCAAATAGCAGAGATCTAAAATAACAGAGACTTTAATAACAGTAATACTTAACATTTGTGTAATGTGTCTTTTATCCCAGGCACTGTTCGTACTTTTTTTATTGACTTGTATAATCCTTACAATGTGCCCCGCTGGTGGTAGGATGTTAATACCTTCACAGAGGAAGCATTAAGGCTTAGGAAGTAAAGTCAGTTGCCCAAAGTCACAGAGCTTGTGAGTGACAGGGCCAGGATTTTAGCTGCATGGCCTGGCTTCAGAGTCAGTGCTCCTGACCGCTGACTGTAGTGTCTGACAGAAAAAGCCACAGGTCCCCAGGGCTCATGTGGCAGCCTGCTCCCCATCGTACTTGGGGAGCCTGGCTCTCTGCCCCAGTTACTCTGCTGCGTATGGTTTCCATTCCCAGTGACATTTCTGCTGCAGTGTCCTGGAATGGTAGCATGCCCAGGTAGGACAAGACCCTTCAGATTATTGTGGAGCTCGGGATCTTCATTTGTGAAGCACGTGCAAATAGTGGGAGAGCTTTTATCTCGAGCCTTCCTTATGGGCTTCATTTTTTTTTTTTTTTCTTATAGAGGAAGGGAAGCTACTGCCTGGGCTGGTTAGTGTGACCAGCCACACTCAGTAAAGGGGGGGAGAGCCCACGTGGTTCCCTAGCGCACTGCAGGGAGCCTGCTCCTGGAGAGTGGTCTGCTCCTGGAGAGAGGTCTGCTCCTGGAGAGAGGTCTGCTCCTGGAGAGAGGTCTGCTCCTGGAGAGAGGTCTGCTCCTGGAGAGTGGTCTGCTCCTGGAGAGTGGTCTGCTCCTGGAGAGTGGTCTGCTCCTGGAAAGTGGTCTCCTGGTAGCCGTGGTTAGGTCCTTTGGCCCACAGCAGTTCTCATATGGTTCCTCCAGCCGTTATTTGTGGTAGTGGGTGTTGGAGGCCCCTGAGTATCCATCCTTGGCAGGGAACAGATAGGTAAAGAGGTGGTGGCCTGTGTGGGGCAGTGAACTAGAGGTCTGAACAGCAACACAGAGGGATCTTAGAAATGTAAGATGAAGCAAAAAGAAAAAGGAAGGTTCTAAGCTGGGTCTTGGAGCCCAGTATCACTTGATTAAATTAATAGTATACATATGGCCACCCCCCACTCTGTCAAAACACCCACTACATAAAGGGTTAAGTTAGAAAAAGAAGAAAGATGGTATTTCATGGAAGGATTTTTTGGTGTGGTTTCTCAAATAGACCTTTATATATTATCTGAAGTCTTCATTTCTGCAGGCTCAATGTTGTTTTACAAAATCTTGTTCTCTTTTTGGTAGTAAAAGGCAGATATAGTCCATGGTAGCTCCTTTTTTCTAGAATCATGTGCATTTTTTCTTGACTAAAAGTTATACTTTAGAAATTTTGCATGGTAAGGCTTAAAGAAAATAAAAATTCTTTATCCTTACTACCTTGGGAGTAAGCACTGTAAACCCTTGTGATATATTTTGTTTTTCCTCTGTGCTTATACAAACACATAAATATTGTATGTACAGTAGTTGAGAGTAAACCATAAATTACTTTGTACTTTACTCCTTTCCCTCAACGCTGTGACATGCTTCCCCATGTCATTACAAATTCCTAATAAACCTCACCTAAAATTAACCATATCATGCCTACCGTGTGCCAGGGTCTGTTGTCAACACTTTACTTGTATTAACTGCGGAGTTTTTACATTGTTGCCAGGCTCATAGCTTTTCTGACAAAGCACCCCACCAAAAAAACCCAAAAGGGTTTTTACAGCCCTTGAGGTCCATTAGAAAAACGCTGATTATATAGGAAGAGAATCAGAGAGTTGCTCCACAGCATCCTGAGAAAGTCCAGTTGTAAGTCTTGATAAGTGATAATTCTCATAAAGGAAAGGGCTGGATTCTGAATACATTCTCTCATATACCTGTGTCTCTGTGGCACCAGGGACTGCAGTGAACATGCTGTTTTCAAACAGGGCTCCAAGGAGAGAAGCTGCCTTTGACACAGAATGCAAGGGCCTGCACGTTTCCGTGTGTGGCCTCTGACAGGCATATTGGGGCCTGTGGGTTGAGGTGGCCTGTCTTGTCTACCTTGTCTCCCGCAGGAAGGAAATATCACACATTCCTTCTTCTAGAAGACTCCTGTGTTCTCCCTTCTTGCATCTCAGACCAGATGGACAGCCTGTCACTCTTGTCACTCAGTGTGGGGTTTCCATGACACACTCATGGGCAGGCCTCTTTAAAAGGGGTGCCAAAAAAATAAATAAATAAAAGAGGTGCCAGGGCTAAAGAAACTGGGGAAGTGCTGAATAAGCCAGATGAAGGAGATTTTCTTAATGCAGAATTCCTAACAACTTCTCGAATCCTTTTATGACTCTCCAAGATGAGGATATATAATGCAGTGTTTCTCAGCTGTGTTTGTCCATGGAACCTTTTTTACTTGAGTATCCTATAGGATTGAGGTTTTTGCAGAACCCAGCTTGATAACTGCCAGCTTGGTGAAATTAAATCCTGGACGCTTTCATGGGTTTGGGCCATCCTCCTTCACACAACTCACTTCTGAGGCGTGAGGCCCTGTGTCTGCCTTGTCAGAATGGCGGGATTCTGTCTTTATTTTTTATTTTTTTTGGATTCTGTCTTTAAAAGGACCTGTGGGGGCTCCCTGATCCCAGCTCTTCTCACTGCCCATAAGAGGAAGTATGTTAGTTCACTGAATTTCTGAAAGAAAAGAATTTTTCCAGACCATCTCCAGGGGGCTGGATATAGCTCATTGAACATGAGGCCTGAAGTTTTTTGTTTTTTTCCTCAAACTAAATGAAAAATGCAGTGGAAGAGAAAGATGTGTTGGACCCAGCCAACCCGGTGTGAGAAATGGCCTGTCCAGTGTTATCATGACATTCTCGAGCGCCTTCCTGGGACACGCCTGCCCACCTGGCCAAGGGCATGAGAGGGGCGGGCCCCTGCTCCTTGGCCTCACATGAGCTGGCTCCCTCCGGGCCTTAAGGGACCTGTTGAAGATACTAGACTCTGTCTTTCTCCATTTTTTTAGAGAAAACCTCTGGACTTTCTTCACCTTTTGTTTTACAGAAGAGGATGTGGAGAACTTTGACGTGACCAATTTGTCTCAGGACATGCTGCGAAGCATAGAAGCCGACAGCTTTTGGTGCATGAGCAAACTGCTGGACGGGATCCAGGTGAGCGCCTCTGCCCTTTCAGGATGCCCTGCCTGGGGGTCCGTTTGGGTTCCTTGTTGCTCTTCTGCATCAGACAACACCCTCCCCGCCACCGGCCCCAGCATGGCTTCTCCCCTTTTGTTGCATCCATCTTTACTTCATTCATTAGCTTTACGGCTTTCAAAAGGCAGTGATCCTAGATGACTTCCCTGGCGGCCCAGTGGTTAGGACTCTGCTCTTTCACTCCTGCGGACACGGGTTTGATCCCTCCTTGGGGAACTAAGATCTTGCAAGTTGTGCTGTGCGGCCAAAAAAAAAAAAAGGCAATGGTCTCATGTCCCCTGGAGTCTCGGGGAGTCTCTATGTTGCTCTGCCTTTCTCATTAGGCCCTGCTGTGCTCCCAGCCATGCAGTTTGCCTCCAAAGCACATGCCTTTCCCCACACTCAGCTGTTCTGTGAGGTTCCTTTGTTCCCCACAGCAGCAGCTGCTGGCAGCAGCTTTGGAGAAACAGCTTGTGCTTTGAAACATGTTTCAGTAACCCTGGGGAAGGGGTGGCCCGACAGTGTGCTATTCCCTGCTCAGCCTCAGTTCTGTGTTATTTGCAGGATAACTACACCTTTGCACAACCAGGGATCCAGAAGAAGGTCAAGGCGCTGGAAGAGCTTGTCAGTCGGATTGATGGTAGGTTCAGAGGAAGAACTCTCTAGCAGTGTGATTCTGACACAAGTGTGACTCACACACAGTGTGATTATGCGGGGGGCGGGGGGCGTCTCCTCGGCCCCTGTCCTGGCCGTGACCCCTTCCAGTTCACTCAGTGCTGTTGGCAACGCTGACATCCTTCTACATTCTCACTGGGAAGGTGAGGCGAGAACTCTGCTGTTAGGTCACATTCTTTTCTCACCTTTGTTTCCTATCACCAGGTTCTGCCAATCCTCCTTCAGCATCTCTCCTGAAATTCACCCTTTTGTTCTTCATGGCCCTAGCCACAGCTCTGGTCCAGCCATGCTTGAGTTTCTGCAGCTTCCTCCTAGAAGCACTCGCCTCCTCCATCCTCATCCCTCTTGCACATCTCTCACACACCTCCGTCTTTCCAGAGCTCTGTTCTGGTCACATCCCACTTCTGCTCGAAAGCCCGTGTTCTCCATTGCTTTTAGCACCAAGTCTGTAGTCTGACCTCGTCCTTCCCGCTGTGACGTGACTTAGGATTTCTGGGCTCGATGTAGGGTCCTCAGGTGTGCCTGGTACCCCAGCAGGACACCCCATAGCTGCCTGTGACCCGTCTGGGTGGGAAACAGGAGTTGTGGCCTCCGGAAGCAGAATGTCTTTGAGGAACAGGAGCCCTGCAGTAAGTCTTGGCCCCACCATGGGATCCTGGAGTGTTAGAACTGAAGGCAAGTCAGGAAGCCCTGCTGTTGACTAATGAGGAAACTGAGGCCCGGGGACAGAAGTTGAAATTAAGTTTCATGAAGATCATGTACAGGTCTAACAGCAAGGTCTTCTGCTAAGTGGAATGTCCAGCACCAGTTAATTCTATCAGTTGCTACACAACTAATAAGTTCTATTATCTGGTTTTCCATCATGGATTTTTCTGCTTCACCAGTGCATTCCTCATCCCTGCCCCCACCTCCCCCCACCCCCCACCATATGGAGATTGCCTATCTTTCTCCTTTCTTGGGTTCTCTTCCATTGAAAACCTTCCCTGATTTGTTCCATTCATTCCAGCTTCCTTTTACAACTTAGGATTTCAGTCCCTAGAGCTGATTTGACTATTTGCTGTTCTTTCCCATGCATTGCATGTGGGATGCTTTTATCTCTCTGCCTCATTGCCTAGCCCAGCGGTCAGCTCCATGCCAAGCCCACACCCAGCTCTCCTGCCTCCCTCACTTGGCTCCTGGGATGGGGCGTATGCTGAGCTGTCTGACAGGGGCCGGCTTCCAGAGGGCCTGTGCAGTAGTTTTTTCCACTGTCTGGTCTGGCCTGTTTTTTCGTCTTCTGCCATCAAAAATATCTGATAAATAAAAGCATAGTATGTTAGGATATAGTATATTTTTAAATGTATATATCTTTGTGCTTTGAATTATAGAAGTAATACTCAGTACAAAAATTTAGACAATTCCAAAAAACCACAAAAGTAAAAATCCTCCCCCTTCTTTAAATTCTGCTCCCTAGAAATAACCATTTATTGATAGTTACTCTTTCAAAAGCTGTAGTATTTACCACATGAGGGTGCTGTTGTAGACACTTTTATTTTCTCATTTTATTCGCCCCCAGACTTACTGAGGTTTGAATGAGTATCCCCATTTATAGATTAGGGAACTGAGGAGGATGGTGATTTTTTTTTTTTTTAATCCTATCAGGCAGTAGCTGAAGGGCAGCCATATGGAACAGGGTCAGGTGTGTTTGGGTTGTTCCAGAACACCACGCCCACACCACGGGGTGGGAGTTGCTGGGGGGAGCTGGTGTCTGTCAAATGTGGCAAAGCTCTTTACGGTGAATCACTTAATCAGTGGGAGAGGCTGCCCTTGAGTGGAGTCGGTGAACCTCTTTCCCCGGCTGTTTAAGTCCCTGCTGGCTGCCATCTGTCAGAGATGCTGAAGAGGAATCCTCACCGGTGGGAGGGTGGCCAAGGTGACCCACACAGCTCTTTTCCTTTGCGTCTCCTTCTGTGATGCGTAACAAGGTCAAGCAGCCAAGAGAGCCTCATGTCTCCCACGCTTGATGGCTCGAGCAGCCCTGCAAAGGAAGAAAGGCCCCCAAAACGTCACTGTGGGATGTTCAACTAGTTCTCCTACGTGTGGGGCTGAGCTAACCAAGCAGCGTTGCTGTGAGGTGGTGGGATCAAACGCCGGACACTCAGGTGCCAGTTTGGCCCCTCTAATCCAGGCTTCCCCAGGGGGAACAGCTGAAAAGCAATGGGAACTGGGACTTCCCTGGTGGTCCAGCGGTTAAGAATCCACCTTGGAATGCAAGGGACGCAGGTTCAATCCCTGGTCGGGGAACTAAGATCCCTCATGCCACAGAGCAACCAAGCCTAAGCGCTGTGGCGAAAGATCCCACGTGACGCAGTGAAGATCCAACACAGCTAAATAAACAAATATTAAAAAAAAAAAAGAAAAAGGAAACAGAAACTGCCTTTTTGGTTTATGTGAGTCACGGTCCAATCCCCTAGGTTGTGCTCGGGGGCCAATGACCCTTCCTGTTTCAGAGCAGGTACATAATCACTTCAGGAGGTACGAGGTGGAATACCTACAGTTTGCCTTCCGTTGGATGAACAACCTGCTGATGCGGGAGCTTCCCCTCCGCTGCACCATCCGCCTGTGGGACACGTACCAGGTATGGGGAGACCTCCCCCCAGCAGACACACATGCCAGGCTGTCCCTGAGGCACCCGGCTCCCCGCCGGCTGCAGCCGCTCAGAAGTCCCCCCCACCTCCTTCCTGCCTCTGTCTGCCTTGTCCTCGAGGGCAGGGCCGCTGTGCACCCAGCCACGGAAGGGCTGCTGCTCTGCTTTCCCCCCTCCCAGAAGGATGGGTCTGAGAGGGCTGGAGCCAGCTTCTCATCAGGGCTTGGAGACCTAACTCTTTCTGTTTTTCTTTTCCCCTTCCCAGTCTGAACCAGAAGGGTTCTCCCACTTTCATCTCTACGTGTGTGCAGCTTTCTTGATCAAGTGGAGGAAAGAGATCCTGGATGAGGAGGACTTTCAGGTGAGGGGCCTGCGCTCAGCCTGCGCTGGGGGTGCGCGTCAGAGGGGGCGTGCAGAGAGAAGGTGCTGCAGCAGGTGCCTGGCTGGGAAGAGGAAAGGTGAGGGGATGTTCAGAAGAGGGTGCCCCTCCCGCGTAGCAGGAAGCTCTGGGGGCCCAGAGTTCTTCAGTGTGAAAGGGTCTTAGCAACAGAAAGGCTGCCGAGCACCTGGGCAGGTCTAAGGCCTTCCAGTCATTCGCTGACGAGCGTGTATTGAATGCCTGCAGTGTGCTCAGCGCCACTGAGGGAGTAAGACATACAGAAGGTAGAACAGAAAGCTCTGTTCTTCTAGAGCTTACGTTCTAGTTGGGGAGAGACATAGTAAACAAAAGCAGTGTAAATTAAAAAGAATCTTAGAGGGTGATAAATTTTTTTTTTTTTTAAGTAGTTTTTTTTTTTTTAATAAAGGATAAAGGGATTACTAGGTGGCAGGGAAGAGACAGGTTGCAGTTTCAAATAAAGTAGTCAGGATAGGCTCACTGAGAAGGCGACATGTGAGCAAAGGCTGGGAGAAGGTGAGGGAGCCACATGGACATCTGGGGGTCCACGGGGAGAGCGTCCAGGCGGCAGGAGCAGCCATGCAGAGGCAGTAAGGTTGCAGTGTGCCTGAGCTGTCTGTGGAACCATGACGGTTGTTCGTTTTGGCTTGGGGCGGGTTGGCCCAGGGAAGGGTTTGGAAGGGGGCTTGGGAGTTCCCGGGGGACTTAGGTCATGGCAGCTTTGTAGCCAGAGTCAGGACTTTGGCTTTTACTCCCAGTGGAAGAGGATCCAGGAGAGGGTCTTGTGCCAAGGAGGGGCATCATCTGACTTACAGTTTCAGGGGATCCCTCTAGTATGGTCTTCAGGTGAGGCCAGCGGATGCTGGGACCCACCCCGGAGGCTCCACGAGGGTGGCCTACACCTGGATGGGGCGGTGGAGATGTGACAGGTGATCAGGTCTTGGATGTTCTTTGTAAGCAGAGTCAACAGGAATTCCTGAGAAATCAGGTATACAGTATACCAAAGGGATGAGTCGGGGTGACCCCACAGTTTGTGAGAAGGCTATAGGAGGAGCAGGTTTGTGGAGGAAGATCAGGAGTTCATTTTGGGGCATGATGAATTTTAAACACCGTTAAAAGACATCCAAATGGAGAGGTAGAGTAGGGAAGTAAATCTTGTGAGTCTGGGCTTGAAAGAAAGAGGAGTCTGGACTGGATATGTGTGTTTAGGAGCCTCTGGCTAGATGGTCCTTGAAGCCGGGCCCCTGGATGAAATCCAGAGGAGGTGGGAGTGAATAGAAGAGACAGGAGAACCAGGCCTGAGCCCCAGCGGCGCCCCTTACGGAAGGTCAAGGAGGAGAGGTGGTCAGACAAGGGGGGGCGTGGCCGGTGGGAGTGCAGTGTCCTGGAACCCGAGGTGGGGATGCGAGGAAGACTGAAGAGGCGGTGGAAGCCAGCCAGCTGCTGCAGGGGACAGGGCGTGGGGACTGAGGGGAGAGGCTACCAGGCTCTGCCGTCTGCAGAGAGGGCCGGGGAGGGAGGCCACCTGAAGGTCATAATCTCTCGGGGCGGTGGCAGTGGGCGTTTGATTTTCTGCTTTGTACGTTGATGAACTGGGGGGTGTGGGGTGTTTTTTTTTTTAATGGGCATATATTCCTTTTAAAAATGTGAGCGGGGGGAAAGCCAGAGAAGGTTGGGTATTTTTCTAGGTTCTAACTAATACCTCGGGTGTTCTTAGGAACAGCAGCCTCTCCACATGACCCCCAGGCAGGCCCACTCTGTAATTGGTGTTAGGTGGTTAAAGCATAAGAAACCTATCCCGCAAATAAGTGGAAAGACAGGACCCAACTTGCCCAAGGAAGGGCTTTGGGAGAGAAAGGGAGGAGTGGGTCTCTGCGGGTAGGTGCCAGGGCGGTGGGCAAAGTGCTGAGGCTTCTGCCAGCCAGAAGTGTGTGCGGTGCCTGGGATGAACAAGGGGCCGGGCTGGGCTGGGCACGCGCTGGATGAGCTGTCAGTTTTGATACTGTGGTTGAGGAGGCGCAGCTATCAGGAGCCCGCAGTGTAATTTTGTTTATCATGAGCCAGGCTCGGAGGGCCTTGTCACTTGTGATAGAAGCGCTTCCCAGATTAGCTCGGGGGTGGGGGACGGGGGAGGTGACTCCTGGAATGGTGCATAGCAATTCACAACATCAACAGCATAGGACCATAGTCTGAGACTTTAAAACTACCTTAGACGTGGAGATGTTCTATCTGATGGATCTGAGGCCTTTCTGAAGTAACCCACAGAATGACAATGGGCTTTTTGTTGACTCATTAACACCTCAGTTAGTCCTCCTCAATACAGGAATCTCCCCTCTTTCCTTGAGACAAAATGGAATGGGTGATTCAAGGATAATCTGCAGAGTTCCCCGCAACTCCACAGATCTATAATTCTATGAATAATGAAAGAAGAAGGGTGCCTGGCTGCGCTTGGACAGGCCAGCAGTGTCCCTTAGGAGACACAGCAAGGGCAGGAGAGCATCGTGTGGCGTTGGGAGATGCGGGCCCGTGACCTCTCTGCAGAGAAAGACAGCCCGCACTGCCCAGCTGCTGACGGGCCGCCTGCAGCTAAAACAGAGAGGAGGCTGTGTGCATGAATACAGGTGTCCCAGAGAGCCTCACATGCCCAGCCACGAGAGAGGAGGTTTTAGGGCTGAAAGCTGAGTGACTCAAAGAAGAACCAGGTGAAGTAGCTGCAGAAATAAATGAGTTTGTGGCACTTTTGGCAGACCAGGCATGTATCACCCTTAAAGATCAGGGGAAGGGAGCCAGCTGTAAAGGGAACCAGTGCAGCATATATCAGGGGAACCAGCGGCCCCCGCCCCCTTCTAAAGTTAGGGACTATGCAGAATAGTCCAGTGGTTAAGCCACAGTCCTTGGAACCTATCTGCCTGGGGTCGAATCCTGGCTCTGCCATTTTTCTAGGTCTGCAGCCTTCAGCAGACTAACTTGGCCCTGTAAGTTTTCTTATCGGAAAAATGGGATGAGAGTACTTACCTTCTAGAGCTGTTAATGAGGATTATACAAATTGCTGTACTTGAAGCTGTCAGAATGGTATACTTAGCCTGTGGCCTTCAAAGCAGTGAGCTTATTAACCCTAATATTATTAGTTCCTGCAGTGTACTCTTGAGTCTGAGAAGCAGTGAAATGAGGATAGCTTCAGGAACCCAAGTCTTTTAGTGACTTTGAACTTACCTGAGTAAACTCTACTAGGCTAATCCTGGGTAAGACCAAGCTGGATGACCAAGTGGGGCTGGAGGAGGTGTTCAGAGGGTGCAGGGGCAAAGGGCGGTGCCCCGGCCATGGTGAGCCCCCAGAGGGAAGGCCACCTGCTTCTCCCTGGCTGAGCAGTTGTCTGGGGTCACGCTGCCTGGGGTGGGGGACCGAAAGCACACACAGGAGGATCACTCCATCAGGTTTCCCTGCTGAGACCTCTGAGCAAGGGAACCTCGGGCGTGTCCATGCACAGGGCCCATAGGGGCAGAATGGCCCGGTCCTCTGGGCCGTAGGCTGCTTGAAACGGGCTTCTGGCAGAGCTGGGCCAGGGCTCTTTCCTGGTAGAGGGGGCCTCGGCGATTCTGGCCCTCAGCCTGGGCTGCCTGAATAGAATAATGGTGATAATGTCCAGTTGCATTTTATGAAATTGTCTATAGATCACACAGTCAAGTATTGGCAATTTAATAAGGTTCAATCTAATAATAGCGGCATCGCAGCACTTAATGTAGCAGGCATGATCCTAAGTGCTTCTCTGTGTTAGCTCATTGCAGCCATCCCACAAGAAACCTTGTAGTAACTACCCCTATTTCACACATGGGGAAACTGAGTCATGGTGAGTAGGACTACGGTGTGTGCCTACTCACACCTGAGGTGAAGTGACTCAGCCAGGGTCACCCAGGGAGTCAAGGACTGGCTTGACTCAAACGGTGGAGACCCGGAAGCCGGGCTCTGGGCGTGGACTGTGTGTCCTGCTGCTCCCTCGGGGCCTGGCCAGGGCCCTCCTGGGCCACCGGGGCTCAGTTTGCACCCTCCTCCCCCTCCTCCGCTATTATGGAGGTAGTGATTTCCTCGATACATCCTTTAATGTAAGTCAGAGAGAACAGGCATTTGAACAAATGCCTGGTCACATGTAACCTAAAAATTCCCCTCGGGGAAAAGCAGCGTCTCTGGGAGTCCAGGAGAACACGGGACCCCACAGAGATGTCAGGGCAGGTGCTGACAAGCCCTCAGATGGCTCAAAAGTGACCTTCAGAAGCCCTGTGCAGGGAGCACCAAGACTAATAACCAGAGTTCCTTTAAATACATAAAAAGGGAACTGGCAGAGGAGCTGGTGGGACCTGCTGATGACTCTTAAACCAGAGGAGCAGCTGGTCTCAATCCTTTGCTTTCATCTTATAGAAGAAAGCCTTGGAGAGATTCCCACCCTGAAAGTGACTTTTGCAGGAGACAGGACAGAGTTGTTAAATGAAATAGTGGTAAGCCTGTGGGCTGTTCCAAGCCTGAATACCCAACTAAGAGTAAATAAAGCCCTTGAACCAGATGGCATCCACCCACCACTTCTGCAGAAACTCAAGGGTGGGATTGTGGAACATTGCCCAAACACAGGCCCCATCTTCAGAGACATCCAGTAAATCGCCAGTTTAAGTCATCCCCAGAAAGTGCCCAGATTTTAGTACCCTGGGAACTAAAGATGTTCCACCCAGAGCAGGCGGGTGTGAGAAAGGACACGACTCCTCGACATAGAAACAAAACAAACATCGGAGGGGGACTCCACTTTCTCTAGGGGGAGTCTTGTACTAAATGTCCTGGGTACTTTTGATGCCGGGAAACCTATGAATACGTGTGATGCTGAAAAAGTTTACATAACAAGGACGTGTCTTGGAAGTTTTTATTGAGACCAAGGGAATTGTTTCACTGATTCTCAAAACAAGAGGGATTTGTTTCAGAAT